TAGCACACGTTTGGTCAAAGGATGGGCTTCACTTGTCTCTTTGACGAGTTGTTGTATGATGCTAAGAATGACGAGACTCATTGACGATGCCGATCCGACTTTGGAAATGCTCATGCATAAAATGGACTCCAGACTAGGTGCGTTCTAAGTCTTCCTGCCAATGTGACCAAGTTGCGAAAATAAGGTCAAACAACCTCTTTAATGTACAATGCTCAATTCTAAGGTCAGCTTGCTTAAGTCAACCACGTTTCTGTGATTTTTAAAATGTTCTATAATTAACTAATTATAATTTATTCATGCAAGTCATCATTCCAGCGTGTCGAGGCTAAATCTCCTTTTGGTTGATAATTTTGACAAAGCCATTGGGAGATTATGATAAAATTCATGCCAAGTTATTCCAGTCTACTTGACTTAGCGCAAGGGAGAGATTATTGTGTGAAGAGTATCTCACTTGAGAGTTGCTGGCCTTAAAAGGGACAGTAGAATAATGCGAATAAAAGTTTTGTTTATAGGGGTTTCTTGGTTTATAATTGTTTAATTCGAGTTTAACTTTTTGATGAAGAGTATCGAAAGTCGATCCCGCCAAAAGGCGACAGCGGATTCCTCTTGGCCAGTTGTCGATTGGCTTTACCGAAACATTCTTGTTGAAGCTGTTTCCGAGGTCATAAGAAATACGAAAGCTTAGCACATGTTCACTGGGATCGAAGGAGATTGCCTCGGGAACAGTGTCAACAAAAATGTTCCTGTAAAGTCAATCGACAGCTGGTCAAGAGGAATCCACTGTCGTCTTTTGATGGGATCTATCTTCGAATCTCTTCACCAAACATTTCCACTCAAAATGAAAATGAGTTCAACAATCCAAAGAAGCCATTTTAGTGGAAATATTTACTATTGCCTTTCAATCGACATGTTAGTTGTAGCATTCTCTTTTGGACATTGGGTTATAATTATTTTTCTTGCTTTCCCTTATCACTCGCAGGTACGAAATAAGCTGCATGTATGAAAAGAGGTACTATGTAAGTGTTGCGTATGCTGAGCAATACATCTACGCGTTAGGTGGTCACAATGGAGAGAATCAAGGCCGGTTGGATTCCGCTGAACGCTACCATCTGGTTGAGAACCTCTGGCAACCGATCGCTCCGATGAATAGAGTGCGCAGTGACGCTGCCGCGGCAGAGTTAAACGGAAAGGTTGACAACACAATCTATTAATTGATTGATATATGCACGCATAATCAAGTTGCCGACAGTATTGGAAGCGAGACATGATAGAAAATATGTCAATTTGGGCAAAATAAGACGTGACTTCTTCCTATATGAATTTATTGAGTAAATACCGATAGATTATCTGCGGTAGCCGCTGGGTTTTAGTCTAACCAACTCTGGATGTTATAGCTCTTGTGAGATGTACCAATTAAGCAAGGTTGGATGTGAAGAGATTCTCCTGCTAGCTCGTTGCTAGGGCTAATTTCATCCTGCTCGAAGGTGCTAGACAAAGTGGTTGATAGTCCTATTCCTTCAAAACACCAAAACAGATAGCCTTTTTACTTTATGTGATTTGGCTACATTAGGACGTCTGTGCATGTCACGTCC